GCGGAACACTGTAGATGATAACCAACGACATCTACAGGCGCTCACAGTTCTGTTACGGATATACGAAAAATTACGCATTATAGTGGTATTTGTTATGGTATAGATGAATCATGGATTCCATGGCCAACGGAAGCGGTCGATGAACAAAATTATTCTACATGGTTGCATGAAGAATTGATGGAATGTAGTGAATTTTATAGAGAAAAGTAAATTTCATTAGTTGTAAGAAGACAATAGAACATTGATTATGTGAGAGCATAGAAAACTGGTTATGATTTGAGACCATGTTTCGAGTAGTGTTGAACAAAATAGCAAATAGAACATATTTATTAGTCGGCAATGTATATGGTTAGTTGTGAGACGACAACAGTATCCAATCGAACGATTAAGGATTCTTTAGTAACATTTGGGACATATGTAATATTCCTACTCAAATACGTATTTTCCTCATTTTTCCTTTCGATCATTTTGATACATACCGAGCATATGTAGTTCGAGATAATAGTAATTAGAAATAATAAGGCAGATCGATGACTACTTTTCAACGTTGGTATGAAGGTTGCAGATGTTCTTTAATACACTTTGTCCAAATATCTAGATCCATGTCTTCACGAATAAAACTTTTCTTTAAGATACACGACACGAGTACAAAGTGGAAGGCCTCATGCATACTCAGTTGGAGAGCATAGCATCGCAAGTAACGATGAAATTGAACATAGACAAAGACAAAGAAATGTAATTTTGAACGCAAACCATATGGCACAATTAATTCGAGAAGAAGAAAACTTCCAATTACTTAGATTGGAACGTTTAAACATGTATGATATTATGTTTGGTCAAGAACGGCCTGCTTCATCACAATTCATAGCTAGATTTCGAGCAGAACAAGAATATGATAGAAAACTGGTGACAAATGAAATGGAAAATGAAAAACATCGATGCGTTGTTTGTCTCAATTATTTGCAAAATAATCAACAGTATGCTAAATGGCCTTGTTTGGGTAATATGCCACATATATTTCATTACCAATGCATGCTGAATTCGTTGCGTATAAGAAATACGTGCCCACTATGTCGGCATGAAGTAGAACCGGCACCACCAATATCACCGTGGACTGTAGGACTTGTCTTCAATAGAATATTTCTTTAAAGAATGAACTTGACAACACAAGTTTTGAATTTTTATTTTATTCACGCTCATAGAACTATTTTCCGCGTATTAAACATGACAAATATAAGCTTTGCTAAAATGTTGATTTCGTTCTTTGAAAGATTTGCTTTCGGTCTCAGTGAGTAGGAATTGGGATGTTGAAAGACGTCGTTCCAACTTTATAAGAGTAACTTCTTCAGTTTTGTGATGAAACTGAAGAGAAGTATCTTTTTCAATTGAAATATTTACCTTTAAACATCAACGACATCTAGGGAATTGAAATTTATTGTCCAAAGATAGTGTGTTACGAACAATACTTCTTTTTCTGATTCTATTTGTTACACGTAATAACCGAGTGCAAGACGAAATACTTTTACTTAAATAGAAATAATCTCCTAATCAATTCGATCTGCTGTCCATTAGTACGTTATAGTAATCATTACCAAAATGATCTCGTTAAATTGTTGCCCAGTAGATTTGACAAGTGAACTGATAATGTGTTATAGACAAGGGAGCCAACATAGTCTGGCAGTGACGTACAAAATAGCAAAGAGAAAATAATGACTTTCATTTAATAGAATCATTTCTCTGCTGCAATATAAACATTAATTTATCGTCACTGTGCTAGAAATAGTGCAAACTGACAGAATTGTGTCAATAGTATAGGTCTTTTTTTCTCTATTTTTCAAATTTCATCCTTATTCGAGCGAACTTCTATCTTCATTTTATAATGTGAAACTTGTTTTTGACCAGATAAATAAAATTATCTTCTATTTGATTCATTTGTTGAAACACAAAGTTTTTAAATATGATACATGCGGAATTTATAATAATTGAATAAACCTATTCTAACTTTATCAATATGTCTGAACTACCATGTCTTCATATATCAGTCTCGAATCAACGATGACGAGAATACTTTGAAAAGCTGAATGATTCTCTAATTCCAGATTGCAGCACTTGATCGATGTGGAGGGTGGGTGTAGCATTACCTTCTCTCCCCCTCACACCCATTTTCTCCAACAGAACAATCGACTATAGAAATTAAATATCGATCTGAACAAGCATTTCTATTTATATTCATTTATAAAAGGAAGCAAGACATAAAGCAATGGTCGTAATTTTTTTGCATTCATAAAACAAGAGAACAACCAATAGAACTTTTTAAAATTGCAAATGAATCTGACTTCTTTTTTTAATTGCTTTCATTGAGAAGATCTTCAAAAAGAGAAGATAACTGCACCATTTCTATTATTCTAAAAACGATGTGAGTTTTATCAATTACTGAAGAAAACCTATTTTCAAAATTACTCTAGTGATTGATATGTGACATATTTAAAGTGACAACTAGGATCTTCAGCTATGTTGATTTACTTCGATTTTTTTATTTCCATTTGGAAATTTTTTAAAAGTTTTTGTAGCAACTCAAAATAAGGGGTCGAACACACTATGGTACGTATTTACATTAGTGAAAATATACGTCGTAGTAGACTATCAAAATCTAAGAAAACATTACTGATATAAATTAATAAAAAACTGAAAAAAAACTAATTAAATATTGAATCTTTGTAAATTAATTACTGAATGTTTCAGATTAGGTATTATGTATGAATTGATTTTTTTATCGAGCAATAGTAAAGCGCTCATTGAAGTATTTCATTCATTTTCAAATTGATGAATGAGAGTAGCTGTTTTAGTTCAAATCACTAGTAGGGGTGGGACATCAATCTTAACTTAATATTAAGTCATATTTTTTTACTTAAAACTTAATATTAAGTTTTAATAAAAAAACTTAATTCTTAAAAATAAGTGTTAATGAAAACACTTAATACTTAAAATTAAGTTTTAAGTTTTTAATAAAAAAACTTAAGAGCCAGTGCCTGAGAAAATCAGAGACCGTAAAGACATCGACGATGGAGTAATATCTCAGATTTTGCTGATTTTTTTGATATGTTATAGAGAGTATTGAAATTAGTATTATCTGAAATTTTCAGCTCGATTGAATAACATTTTCCAATACAAACAGTTGAAATACTAATGGAATTTTTTATACTTTTATTTTTTAATTTTGAGGTGACACTTTTTAGTAAAAGTGACTTTTATACTTCAATTTCTTCAAGTACGTTCTTATATTAGAATGATACCAAATACGTTTATTTCTTTGATTTTATTGTATTTTTGTATTATTTAGGTTTTTTTATTTGCTTGTTCGAGTGAAGCTCTAACGAAAAGATTACGTTCTAAAACATTTCATGCAATTCTACGTCAAGAAATTGCTTATTTTGACGATCCAAATAATAATACAGGAGCATTATGTACACGTTTAGCAACTGAAGCATCTGCTGTACAAGGTGCGACTGGTATTCGTATTGGACTAATGTTAAAAAATTTCGCTTCAATCGGTGTTGGTATTATACTTGCTTTTATGTTTTCTTGGCAATTGACATTGCTTATTCTTGGTTTTATTCCATTTTTGGTTGTTGGAAGTTTTTTAGAAAGATATTTAGCAACTGGCTTTGCCAGTAAAGATAAAAAATTATTTGAAGATGTTGGAAAAGTACAAAAGTCTTTTAAATAATAATATTTTATTTATTTTAATTTTATATGTTCTTTAGGTAACAGTAGAATCTATACAAAATATATGAACAGTTGTACAATTAACCAAAGAAGATTATTTTTACAAAAAATATTGTTCATTTCTTGAAATTCCTTATCGGTATTGTATTTTGTTTGTAAATTTAATCGAGAATTTATCATATTGTACTTGTATTATATTTAGATCATCTATAAAACGAGCATATGTCTTTGGCTTATCCTTTGCATTAGCAAATTCAGTTCTATACTTTATGTTGGCAGCATTATTTAGATTAGGTGCTTATTTATTGATTAAAAATACAGTCTCATTTAAAGATATTTTATCGTAAGAATAAATATTTAAAAAAATATGGTAACTTGATTTTATTCTAGATGTCTTGGTTGTATTTTATTTGGTGCGCAAAGTGTTGGACACACAGTTTCAACGTAAATGTTCGAAATGATTAGACAAAAAATTATTATATTGTTGTTTGACTTTGTTAGATCTCCGGATTACACCAAGGCTGTTAATGCTGCTGAAAAAATTTTTGAATTTTTGAATCGAAAACCAATTATGGATAATAGTTCACGTGATGGGGATGAAATAGTTAGTTCATATCAACAAATGTTAATAAAATTGACTTTTTTCTATTCTTTTTGTTTTAGCCTAATTTTAATGGACAGTTAGAATTTACTGGTGTCGATTTCATCTATCCAAACAGACCGGAATCAATCATTTTGAGAAATTTCAAACTCAAAATTCAAGCTGGTATTTATTTTTTCATTCATTCATTCATTTATATCAATTTTTTGTTTTCATAGGTCAACAAGTTGCACTCGTTGGTAAATATCGTCGTCTTTTTTTTTCCTTACAATATCTTTGATTTCAATCTATTTATTTATCTATGTAGGTACATCTGGTTCTGGAAAGTCAACAGTAATTCAGTTAATTGAACGTTTCTACGACGTAAATATTGGTCAATTGGTCAGCTGATTTCTCTCACATATCTACTCATCATTTTTCTTTTTCTTTTTCTTTTTGTAGTTAATTGATTCCAAAGATATTCGAAATCTTAACCTACAATGGTATCGATCACAAAGTATGTAATATATATTATCTTTCTTTTTTTTTTTGTTTTTCTATGCAAAATAAATATCTTTTAGTTGGTATTGTTTCACAAGAACCTGTTTTATTTGATATGTCAATAAGAGAAAATATTGCTTACGGTAACAATAGTCGAAATGATATTCCCATGGAAGAAATCATTGAAGCAGCTAAAAATGCTAATATACATGATTTTATTCAAAAACTTCCACAAGTAAAGTCATAAGATGAGATATCTTCTAGAGAATAAAAATTCATCTTTTTCAGGGATATGAAACAAATTGTGGTACAAAAGGAACTCAATTATCGGGTGGAGAAAAACAACGAATTGGTAAGATCCAAGATTGAAAAGAGATTTGAATGAGTAAAACTAGTTTGTTTTAATTTTTAGCAATTGCTCGAGCATTAATTCGAAATCCAAAGATATTATTGTTTGATGAAGGTAAAAAAAAATAAGATGATGATTATTGTATAATGTATATATTTATTTAGCAACAAGTGCATTGGATAGTGAAAATGAAAAGATAGTTCAACAAGCATTAGATCATGCTAAAAAAAATCGAACATCAATTACAATAGCACATCGTTTATCAACAATTCAAAATGCGGATATGATTTGTGTTTTACATAATGGAGACATAGTTGAAAGTGGAACTCATCAAGAATTACTTGCTCTTCATTGTCATTATTATCAATTAGCACTTGGAAAACTTAGATAAATATTATCACTTTTTTTTGTTTTTTACATATTTAAACATAGTTTTTATTGGAAAAATAAATAAAATTATGTAGGATTGTAAATACTTAGCAAAGTGTTTTATAACACATCTAGCAATCATTCAACGGATACGCTGACCCTTTTGTTGAAAGAATGGCACGCTCGAGTGAATAGAAACGACTCATCGTGATCTCGTAGCTTTTGTTTCTGAAAATAATCAGAGACTTGCAAAAATATATTTCTTATTCGTTGCTTGGCTTGATGAAAGCATTTTCAAAAAGAAATGACAAGCTGTCTGTAAAATTATATGATCTCTTCATTTTTCTCTCGAACCTCAGGCTAAAAATCAAAAAAACAATTTTTTACAGGAGATGTGGAGAGATGGAGATTTGGGGAACGCTGCGTCACCAAGAGGAGAAGTTCAAGAGATGCCGCATCTCTCTGAAAAGTTCACGAGATGTCATGTCTCGTATAGAGATGCGGCATCTCCTGTGAGCGATGCATCTTCCTTAGGTCTCCGAGGCTAAAAATAAATAAAAAAATGATCAGGAGATTGGGGAGATAGAGATTCTGGATATGTGACACCACTCCTCTTCTGTCAAATTACTTCTGAGAATTGTCGTCAAGAAAATCAGTCTATAGTCAATCGTTATTAACCGAACACTTGAGTTTTTGGATAGATTTGTTTCCACGATTAGATTATATATATTGATGAATTTGAAAGCATGTTTAAGAAACATTTTCATGAAAAAAACAAAATTTATTTTTTTTTCTGCTAGAAGTAGTAGTGATGATATTAGCAGAAACTCTAGTACTACTATCCATTTCAAAATAGAAGATGGGTTAGTGCAAGTTGAATAACTCGAGAAAGCCAATAGCTAGAGAGCTGCGGTTTTCACCAATAGAAAGAGGACACTGATGGACACAGATTTCTGGAAAAATTCCATTAGTCAGTAATGAACCAATAGGATGAAAGTTCGCTGGACATTTTGAATATAGCTTTTGGGTCGCTTTTTTTGTTGGATTTTGAACTTGAATTAAACTATTCCATAGAAAAATTTGTTCTCTTTTGATGTACGCAAGGGCGAGCTCGATAGTTTACTCCATTCAGCAGCTATTGGCATTTTCCTGAGATCCCCGAAATCGATCAGGTGACATGGAATTACCCTTAAAAGCATTAGATTATAGGTAACCGAACACGCTGAGTTCAGTGGTGATATTTGTGTTTCATTTCAAACTAATTTGAAATAGCTGTATCGAGATTTTTGATATATCTGTTCTTTAAGCCAATAAGCAGCAAAACCTAGATTTTCGAAAACTTTGCTATAATGATCTCAGATTAGTTAGAAGTGTAAAACAAACATCACTACTGAACTCAGCGTGGTCGGTTACCTACAATCTAATGCTTTTAAGGGTAATTCCATGTCACCTGACCGATTTCGGGGATCTCAGGAAAATGCCAATAGCTGCTGAATGGAGTAGACTATTGAGCTCGCCCTTGCGTACATCAAAAGAGAACAAGTTTTTCTATCGAATAGTTTAATTCAAGTTCAAAACCCAACAAAAAAAGCGACCCGAAAGGTATTTTCAAAATGTTCAGCGAACTTTCATCCTATTGGTTCATTACTGACTAATGGAATTTTTCCAGAAATCTACGTCCTTCAGTGTCCTCTTTCTATTGGTGAAAACTACAGCTCTCTAGCTATTGGCGTTCTCGAGTTATTGAACTTGCACTAATCCATCTTCTATTTGAAATGCATAGTAATCATTGTTAAACAAGTAGAATATTTTTTCATTGGATTCTTATGTATTACTCATTCGTATATGTATCTATATTCAATATACAAAGTATTCTTTTTTTCTTCGATTAAGTAAAGGAAAAGAAAAATTTGGTTACCTTTATGTATTTATTACTAATGTTTTTTTTATCCTATATCGGAAGTAAATAAGTACAAATCACATATTCGTATTCAAGCAATAAATATGAAAACTTAGTCGATATTTATAGAATAATTCATTTTCTAAGATATTTCGAGAACAGTTTTTTAATTTTTCAGATCATTTAATTTTGACTATCTGAACAGACAAAAAGAAACAACTTGAAGCAAGATTATTTCAATAGGCTTGATTAACATGGCTTTATCTAATTTTGATAGTCTACCATCTGAATTAATCGTAGAAATAAGTGATTATCTAGATGGATGTGATTTATATTATGGATTTTATGGATTAAGTCAACGTATTAATGGAATACTCGAGTATGTTTTATTTTAACATTTAATGAAAAAAAAACGAATTTCTTTCTTCTTGTTTTTGTTTAATATCATATTTAGTCAACAATGTCATCGTCTTCACATAAGTTTTATTCATATATTAAAAATAAAATTCGATTTATATTGTAATCGTATTTTACCACATATAAGTACTCGTATTGTTTCGTTAATATTATGTGGTGATAATTCAACAACACCTGGTCAACTCAGATTATTTTTATCTCGTTTTAATTCTCTAGCACAAGTTTTTATTAATCTTGAATCAATTAAATTAATTGATTATACTAAATCAGATGTAGAAATTCTCTTAGATCATTTTCCAAAGTTCACTAGACTTAAATGTTTATCGATTGGAGAATATAAACGTTTAATGCCATTTACTATAAATAGAAATGATTTATTCAAGGAACATGTTACCTTACCTATTTCATTGCGTAGTTTAGCATTTCCATATGAAATTTCAAATGAATGGATTCAAACATCGAATACGTTAACATCATTGATCGAACAATTACATATTCATCTTATTCATATAAATGTAATATCTTTGTTTTTACAAAGATTTCCTTATTTAAAACGTTTGACTACTGTTCTAACGGGTATTAATCAAAATAATTTATTCATGGAAAATAATTTTCAAACTAATATTATGTTACATAGATTACAATATTTGAATGTCAATATTACACAGCAAGTAAGTCGATGATTTGCTCTTTTCAAAAATATTTAAAGATTAATAACTGAAATTCTATACTTTCATTAAAACGATTTAAAATTTATGTTGTTTTCTATTGGTTTGATTATAGGTAGCTTTCGATGAATTTGCTTCTTTTCTAAGAAATTTGACTGAACTTCATTCATTATCCCTTGAAGCACTCAATCCTGAAATCGATTTCTTGGAGGCTCATCGTTGGGAAACAGTTTTACCATCAAAACTTTCTTCATTTCGTTTTGACTTGACCATGACATTACCAAACAATCCTAATCATCTTGAATTATTACAATCTTTCAAAAGTCAATATTGGATATCTCGAGGTTGGTTCGTACAATGCCATTTACGAGATCGGGGTCGTTTCTTTCGTTTATCTACTGTTCAATCACCAATTATCACTATTCTCTATTGGCCCGATGATGAACTATTACTAGATACAACAACTATAACAGTTTATCCAAATGTAACTCATATTGAACTATGGTGGAATTTATCGAAATCAACTCAAGCAACATGTCCTAATGTTTGTTCAATTCAATTGTATGGTGTTGGTAATAACAGAGATGAACCTATTCATCCAAATATTATTGATATTTTACAAAATCCATCACTTGAACATATTATAATTAATAATGATCTACCAATTACTCATAGTAGATTTGTATCAATTCTAGAAAAATCATCGGACAATATTCAAACATTGACATGTTCTATTCATTGGTTACTATTTATATTAGAAGAACGTCAACAATACGAATGGATTTGTCAATTAATAAAAATGCGTATTCGAAAATTAATTGTTAACAATGATGAAATCATTCTGTCTAACACAAATTTAATTGCTTTTTGTCGAACATTTATTAATTTAGAAGAAATAACAATAAAAATGGGATCAAAAGAAGATTTATTTTTTCTTTTAAATACACTTGAAAAATTAACGATGGCAAAGATTGAATTACCTTGTATTAGTCTTGCTGGTATTACTGATGATAGAAAAATGATAGAACATAATACAATACTTGTTAATTTTGTCATTTATAAACAAATTATTTCATTAGATACTTCTAAATTAATTTTATGGATTGGTTCACGTCGTACGTCAAATCTTCTTCAAACAAAAACTTATCTTTATTTATAACATCCGATTATTCATCACTATATGTAATAGATTCCATATTTACTGATTAAATAATATTGAATTTCTACTGTATTATACAAGCGAAAAAGAATATAATTACGAGACTTATTTCAATAAAAAAAAAAAATTCAAATAAATAAAACATTTTCTATCAATGTGAATATGAATATGCGCGAGTATGATTGTGAAAATTTACTTCACTTAAAGTCACAACTATACTCAATCAAGCCGTAGATCAAAAGATGATTTAATTCTTGTTGTCGACATCAAAATGACGAAATGATATTGAATTCTTCCGATGAATTTTTTAACTAGTAAATTTTTGGAAATTTGTTGATTGATCGTGATATAATGCGAATTTCATTTTAAGTCTTTCATTACAAGTCTGTGTGCTACAATCAACATTTGATAACTTATGATAAATTATGGTCTCGCTTGCAATCATTCTCTTTTTTCATTTTCATACGTTTTCTAATAAAGTATATGGACATTGCCAAAAACATCTGCAACATCACGTAAGTGAAGGTGGCCCCCGATTCGCCTAGGAACTTGTTCCAAGACTCCTATTCTTGTTTCAAATACAACTCGATGAGCTCTATCTAATGATATGCT